TCTAAAAAGTATGCAGTATTTCCCGCGCAAACCAGCAGTCAGATCTCTAGATTGCCTGGCCTCGTGATTTGTCACGTATTTTTAAATAACATACAGTTTTCTGAATTTGCCAAGTACTACTAAACTACAAAAATAAATAAACGGATAAATTATATTCTCAAATTATAACTCCGAATTAAACATGCAATGTGAAAAGTTAATGCCGTGAACCCTACCATTGATTAAATACATATAGATAGACCCATGCTATTGTTTGGAGCGAACAGGCCAAAGGCCGGCGAACAAGAGATGGCGCACCAACATTCGGCCGTCAAACGCCGGCGAAAAGCTTGGACGCCAATCACGCGCATAGGCAACCCAAATCGCAGCAACAATATATTTAATAAATCTACCACTCGATAGAGGGCGACGAAACAAATGTGTAAAAATCTCATAGTAAGCATTTAGATAATTGACCCTTTTCCTGTAAGCAAAGTGAGTAGACATTATATAAATTCCAATGATACAGAGTGAGACAACATCGCGCAGGCGAAGTCAGATTTTTGGAGCGCCAAGTTAAAATTAACCAATGAGCGACAGATTACGCATGTGTAGCCGGTTGCATTCTGTCAAAGCGGTTTGTTGTCACAGGCGTTTGCTCTGCTGCCGGAGTGCTGGGTACTATTTCCAACGTGGTTTTGAAGATGCGTGCGCACGGAAAGTCACTACGGAAGTTTTACGATCTTACAGGAAAAGGGTCAGTTTAAAACGTTGCCAGATGAGCCTAACACAACTTTGCCGTTATTTCTAGGCAAGTAGATTTTATTTCGTTTAAAAGTTTCTGATAAATAAATGGGATTATTATAATGAATAAAAATAAATAATACAAACAAATTATTACTTGTTATTTTAAATATTTGTTAGTGCTAACATTATTATAAATACGGTCCGGTAATTCAAATTTTACAGTACGAGTGAGATGTTTCAGGACGAGGAGACCGTAGGGGGCCGAGTCTTTAATTTCGAAACGAGTACTGCGAAAAGAGTTACCGGACGTATGTCGTTATGGATTTTATTTCATACTTACCGGACTCCTTCAAATCCAGTAAAAGGTCAAATTTGACACAGTATGAAGTAAAATAAATGTAAATAACACATTGGAATTTTTTTTTACGCTTTCGTGTGCTCGCTTTTGTTACTAATAATCAGAGCTGTTCAAAGCACTCAAAAAAAGTACTTGTACTACTTGAAATAGTGTTCAAGTAAAGTACCAAGTACTTACTTTCTGCAAGAGGATTTCAAGTATCAAGTACTTTTCAGATGTACTTGAAGTACAAGCCAAGTACATTACTTCAAGTACTTACGAGTACTTGAAGTACTGGAGGTATACTTCAAGTACTTACAAATACTTGAAGTATTGAAAATGCTTCAAGTACTTTCTAATTATTTGAAATACTGTAGAACTAGATAACTTTTCCTGTTTTTTTAAAAAAGCTTAATATATTTTAGAACTGAATTTTTTTAATACTCAGAATTTAAGTATACAATAATACAATATCTGGTTGACCGAGCTTCACTCGGCTCGTTTGGTAGTATTAGATCAGATTAGGACAGATAAATATGCGTATAGTATGCATTTTGAAGTAGACGCGCTAATTAAAAATACACATTAAAAAAGAAATTCCATAAGCAGTCTTTGTTTTAAACAGTGATAAGTGACATGTAGAGATTAAAGAACAGAAAACTGGAATTATTGTTTGACATTTATTACAATCGCATTTGTTACCCAAGTTTTCTCTCTGTCGTTCTTTTTTTTTCCTAGTTCTCTCTCTCGACTCTAGAAAAAGGTCACAACTACATTCTTACTGCCAGAAGAGTTTCGCCTCTGGTGTGGTTATCATACTGAGTTACCGTGCTCTTTTGCGTTATTCCTAATTTCTCAATCTCAACCCTGCTCCCGAAGATGCCACTTACGAAAGTGTGCGAAACGTTGAGCCCAAAAACTCAAATAACACGGTCCCATCCCGGAAAACGATCACACATTGACTCCGACCGCGAAACCTCTGAAATGAATGCTTGACAAAATAATCTCAATTCAACGCACTTTCGTGTGCCTTTTATACGCTCACTCTTTAGTTTTCGGTAAATTTTCTCACCTCAGAAGGTGAATTTTAACGTCCTCTATACAGTGGAGTATGTTTCGGTACGTACAATTGAAGATAAAAAGGTACGTCAAACGTACTGTCAGACTGTCACCCAAACTTCTCTTATAAAACAATCTCGTGTTCGTGTAGTGTCATCTGAAGTTGCCTAGCAACAAATATAATTCACTGCCTGAAAATTGCTGAAAATGCATGAAGCTGTAATTTTCAGAAGTTAAAACTATGATCAATCGATTTTTTGACCCAAAAAACCCCTAACCTGTAAATTTCATCGAAATCGTTAGAGCCGTTTTCGAGAAACCCATTATATATATATATATAAATATATATATACAAACTTTGCTCGTTTAATAGTATTAGATATTTCGCCACACAAAAAATTGCATAAGCATCAACTTAAATGCGCCAGAATGGTAGCTCACTTATTAATAATACTATGTTATTTATAAACAATATTCTTTTGAAATACTTTTACATCTTTCTGTTGACACAATGCCTTCGACAAAATTAACGTCTATTTATAATTTAAAATTTAAAATAAAATGCATGACAGTGTTGTCTATGTATCTTTACTATTAATTTATAACAAAAACATCGGCGCTGTATGGTATTTTCTCAGGCTTCTGTTGCCTTTTTTTAATATTTTGAATTTTGGTTCACCACCAAAACGTTCTGATTTTTTAATAAAGTTGTGTTAAAAATATATAAATTTTATGAACCGGTTCCGTGTTTAAGTTTGTGGGTAGTTTACAGCATCCTTAATCATTACCCATTGTGAAAGTGCACAGGGCCGGATTTGTGAAACTGAAATTTTTCAGAAAAAAATTTTAAGAGCTGTGCGATACATATACATGCTCGTGACATAAAAATGTTTAAGACACTATGTTGCATTTTCAAAAAAAAACGTATGAATTTTTTAAATAAAAAATAAAATGCCTAAAACGAGAGTCCATTTTCAGCGAAAACTATAACTCATATATAAAGGTGATCAAAGTAATTAGTCGTTTTTTACTTTTGCGGTTACCAAAAATGCTGAGAATTTTCTTGCAATGAATGCCCCATATTCCTGAATATATCTGTCTACCACTTACGTATTTACTATTCTAAAAATTATTAAATTAACCTAAATACTACAGTGACTAAATACCTAAATACTACAGTGACTAAATAGTAAACATTAATCACTACAATGTTTGTCTAACTAAGTATGTAACTTTACACTGACAAATCACAAATAATAGGTTCGTAATGCTGTTCCGTCCATTTATACAAAATTTTGTTCCTCTAATGCCACAATACTTTCAGAATTTTCCTTTACATTTTCGATTAGCTTATTTTTTATTTTTACCTGAAAACCCAAAGAAGATGGCATTAGTAACTGATAACTACAATGACTTCAGGGAATGCCTAACAACGGCTTTTGCGAAAATTCAGGTAAATATGTACTAAATTTATTATTGTTAAAATATTTCGTAGGGGTGTATTTATCTAGGCAATTATACTAACTAATCGCGAATTTCATTAACTTTGTATTTTTTTATAATGTGAATATGTATTTTGTTCCATTTACGGAAGCGGCCACTGACCCTTTTGGGTATCTTTATCTGATATTGTAAATACAAATGTAAATTCAGTACTTCTGTAACTGTCCTGTATTTAAACATCGAAACTAAACGCTGTCTAGTATGTCGCACACAACAAAACAAAGGTTCTTCGAGCAATATCAAAGTACAATTCGGTACTCATCAAAACCATACAATCATGGTCGTATCAACTGGATTACAAAAAACATTGGTACTACGAGCCCAGTTTCACAAAGCATAAATATTTCATTTTGAACAATATTGGGTTTATGTAATAAGCGATGCAATGTAATACGTAAAGTTGTTGTACGGCAATAAATAAAATCCGCATAGGAAAGATAAATGACACTAATTAGTGTGACTTTTAAAATCATTGTTTTTCTGCATTACGTCTTTTTAAATTGTTGGTGTTCAAATAATTCATACAATTTAACAGATTATTTGAAACTGTAATGTGAGAAAATATAAGTAGTTAGTAATAAACTAAGTTTATATGGCTGAACCATGTATAAACAAAAAAAGAAAATTTGGTAAAAAACGAGTGTCTAACATGATAAAGAAAATTAAACTGCAATAGTTATTTACACAACTAGTTCGGGAAAGCCTGCTTCCCGCATGAACGCTTGTTTGCGGCACGACCGCAGGGAGTGCCGCATTTGCGTGAATGCGGGAAGCAGCTTTCACAAACGTGTTGTGTACAATATTTTTCGCAACGAATAAATTTTTAAAATTAAAACATGAGTTATGAAAATTATTTATAAACAATCAAGTTGGCAGCCCTGTAAACACGTCACTACGTTGACACTACCAGCCTACTTTAAAATTTAAAATAATCTAGCACCAAAAATTACAAAATGTCAGATTCTGACGAATTTGTTTGCACGCCCCCTGAATTACGTGCTGCCGCAAGTGCTGCAGCCCAAAATTTACTGCCAATAAAAAGCAAAGGACGGTATGAATGCACCTACCAAAAATTTTTAGATTGGTGCCATAAAAACAAGGTCGCAAAATGTAGTGAAAATGTTTTGTTGGCGTACTTCAAGGAAATAGTTCACAAGAAATCTTTGTGGTCAGTGTATTCTATGCTGAAGTCATGCATAATTTGGAACAAAACATTGACATTTCAAAATTTTCAAAATTGATTTTTTACATATAAAGAGAAACTCAGCAGCATCAAGCTAAAAAATCGGCGGTTTTAGAAGATGTGCATATAGCGAAATTTATTGCAGAAGCGCCCGATTCAACATTTTTAATGATGAAGGTAAGATTGACACATACTAATAAACAAATTACTATAACAACAATCAATATTTTATTTCAGGCAGCATTAGTTTTAGGCATTTCTGGCATGTGCAGAAGGGGGGAGCTCTGCAACATGAAACCGTCTGATCTAGAATTTAAAACAGACATTATTGTTGTTACTGTGCCAGAGACAAAAACAAACACTCCTAGAACCTTCGTTGTATCTCACCCACAGTGGATTGATATCGTAAAAAAGTACAACAGTCTTAGGAAAACAAACGATTCGCGTTTTTTCCTCACTTATCACAACGGTAACTGCACAAAATCGCCTGTTGGAATCAATACTATTGGTAAAATACCATCCAGAATAGCTGAATATCTTCACCTGCCACATCCAGAACACTTCACGGGCCACTGCTTCTGTAGAAGTGCTGCAACAGCAATGGCTAATCATGGGCAAGGTTTGATTGCAATAAAACAGCTAGGGGGGTGGAAATCCTCTGTTGTTGCAGAAACTTACATTCAGGACTCGCTACAAAACAAAATTGATTTATCGAGAAAAGTTATACCTGAACAAGACTGCTTACCTTCAACGTCATCTACTCCTGTAACTTCCTTGGGATTTACGGCCACAAGTGCAATAGAGCATGAAATAATCAACGCCGAAGAAACATCTACACCAATATCCATTAAAAATTGCAGCAACTGTACAATCAATTTCAACATCGGAGTATTTAACAATTATTCAAACCCTCTTCCTTCATCTACTAACTAATATGTTTTAATATAATAAACTTACTGTTTTGGTTGAATTCATCTAAACTTTGTCTTATTTACAATATCATCACACCCCATGAACTTAAGACAACTGGTGAAAATATAACAGCATTTTTCCACTTTTCCATCCCAGGCTTCACAAGATCATGTGTACAAAGTGTAGTATACTTATGCTGTTAGATGATGATTGATCTAATGATTCTTCTCTTGATAAATGTTGCTTGACATTTTGCTATGTGATCACTGCAAAATATGCACATATTTTTTGTAAGTAGGTGATTCTACAACAATCTTCTTTTAATTTTAAAGGGAGATCAGCCAATTCCTCTTGTGGGCGTTTCGTGCTGACGGATTATATTTTTAAAATTCACGTTTTCTGATAACCTGAACCAAAAACAAAAACGAAATATTTAACAAAACTCAAAAGTGAAATTCTCTCCCACTTGCCTTCAACATTACTGCCAAACTATAGGGCGATCTCGTTGATTTGTCGCACTATTATATATATGTTTTCAATTTCTTCGTTATGGGAACATTTTCTCAAAACGTTTGGCCTTAGTGTATCTGGGCTGTCCCTTTTTTGAAGAGATTGGTTTCAAACAAGCACAACGGTCGCTTGCCTTCACGCCAAAGTTTCTTTATTTATGACAATAACTGTCGCATTTATGTTTGTCATATTCTGATATATCTGCAATACACTCACATTTTGGGACATTGATTTCTCTGTCTTTAACCTTAAAAATATTTATGACTGTACGTTATTTAATCAATAATTCATACCTGTAATGAAATCTGGTACAGACAGACTCCTTGGCATGCTGGTTTGTTTGATCACCTTCGCTTCGATTTACCCAGTCGTACATTTTTCAGTCAAGTTCACAAGACGCAATGCGCGAAAGCTATCAAAAAAGGTCATGAGTGCAAAAAATATTTAACATAAAATTGTGATTAAATTCTACGAAGAAGAGGCGAATATGAAAGTCTGTACCTGCCATCAGCTATTGCTATTATAATAAAAGGGATAATCCCCTGCCGAGTTCTCCGCCCTGACCAGGCTTCTTACTGACAAATACACGGCGGGGTTAAGAAACTAATGAAAGAATAAATATCTTTTTGAACGAGTACTGAATCATTTCTCAAATATTTTCAAATCCGACCTTGCAATTTAGCAGGTACGTCAACAAACCCGATTCCCTTTGGGGTACCGGGAAGGTACTGAAAAACTACCCGCAAAGTTAAGTTCCAGACCAAAATACAAAAAAGACAAAATTCATATATTCACAACTTTACATCGCTGAAAATTTTACACAGATCTCCGACTCTTCTGCTGTCGTCATCCACTCTCAAATGACATATTTATGACATTAATTTTCTTACCTACCTATCTATCAGCATTATGCAAGTACCTATGAAATGTACGTCATATTGTGGATAAGATATCCACAATCACAGATCAAAATATAACCTCACAGGAAAGAAACACGATTTTACTATAAAAATACATCTAATCAAATAATTAAATTAATAACTTCAAGTATTTAACAGACCCTATTTTGAGATGTGAAAACTTTGTACAATAGAGACTAAAGTATTTGAAATTTCCACTTTCATACTTCAAGTAATTCAAGAGTATTTAAAATACTGAGTGAAGTACTTGGAGTAAAGTACTTGGCAAAATCAAGTACTAAACTCAAGTACATTTTAGAAATACTCCAAGTACCAAGTACCAAGTACCTAAATATAAAAGTACTTCAAGTAAAGTACTTGAAGTACTTAAAGTACTTTTACTTGAAGTACTGAACAGCTCTGCTAATAATACAAAGAAAAATGCTTTTAAATGCTTTTTCTCAAAACTTACTATATTTTTTTAGAAAATTTGTTAGACTAGAGACGGGCAGATATATACTAATGACAAAACATATGAATTCATACAGGGTGACTGCGAAATATATGCAAATATTTTAACCACGGCATCCCCCACCCTAGTAGAGCCGAAATATCGAAAAAACAAATTAAAAATCGAATGGGGCAAAACCCCCATGAACCACCCTCGATACGAAGGCACTGAGCTACCTTGTAAACAGAGTTGGAAAAACGTTCAAATAAAAACGACCTAAACACTTTCAGTTTCAATTAAAAGTAAAACCGACTTTTTGCGGCTTATCATTCGTTCATTCATTTACTCATTCATCGTTAAAGGTCAGTGTGAAAGTTTTTTGGTAATTTTGATTCTGACGGATGTTTGATCTTCGGCACAACGATTTTACATTGTTTATTGGAACGGAAATAAGAGCAACTTAGAATGCTACTACCTTTTTACAAGAAATGTTGAAAATGTTGTCCTTGATTAGCAATGCAGGCGTCAGAGCATCGCAAGAGGTTTGTTGATAGGTAAAAAAACACCGGAGTAGCGGCTGCCACTTTCACTTGTTGAAGCTCTTCGATAATTTCTGGACACTATTGATTTCCACAAACGAATTGTTTCATCCAACCAATACACGTTTCTCGAAAACCGTCTCTTGAAATCGTACTTGTTGACGACTATGTGGAGTTCCATCGGACAAAAAGTGAGTTACACAACGTGGACAATCAGCGGGCTCCAAACCGTGCATTTTGTCAACATGGTATGGATGCGACCGTGTTCTTTTAATGTAGGATGCACTACAAGCTGCGAAAATCCAAATTCTCCTTTCTGCCCCATCACGACCAAGATCGTGAGTTTGAGGTTGAAGGTACCATGATCTCGGAGATGCTGTACCACCATATCGACACGCTCTGCATTGGAAAACTGGACCATACACCGATTCACAGCACCGATTATAACGACCGCTCGATAATGACTGGCCTATTTCGTGTTTTTCACGTTGCGATTAAAAAAGTGCCTGATAAAGTTACTTTTTTGGTTCTTACTCCGAGTCCCCTACCCATTCATTGCAGTAATTATGTAGGTCACGAAACATTACCAGCGGCGCGTATAACAATTTACATTTAATTTCAAATATTTTTTTCTAGACACTGCTACCACTTAGGACCGTGAATTTTTGCCAGTGACATAATCATATTGTGAGCTGTTCCCCATTTTTTTTTTGCATGTATTTCGCAGTCAGCCTGTATATATCTTAAAAAACGGGTAACATATTCTTTCACATTTTATGATGTAAATACAATTAAGTATATCGATAACTCGCATATGTAATATGTAATAACTATGTAACTATGTTTAGAGATTTAGTATTTTGCAAATAAAATTTATTTCATTGAAAACAGAAACATTAAAAAACATATCTGTACAAGTTTGGAATCGATATGGCCAGTTGTTTAGAATATGCAAATATGCTTTTGTTCGTATTTACAATTATTACGAAACAAGTTATCAAATAATCTATTTTCACATGGCGGGACTTTCAAACGGCAGAAAAGTTAAAAACCATAAATTTTCATTGAAGAATACAAACTCTTCCAAGAAAATTTACCAAATCTTTTAGTTTACGCACTATTCGACGAGCACTCCTTAAAACGGTCAGTATACTTAATCGCATTATTCCATTGATACCTACCTACCAAAAACGTTGCCAGATGAGCCTAACACAAATTTGCGGATATTTCTCGTCAACCAGATATTATTTCATTTAGAAGTTTCTGGTAAATAAATGGGATTATTATAATGAACAAATAAAACAAATAAATTATGATTATTATTTGTTGTTTTAATCCATTAGACGCTTATAGGCTTATAAGCATACTTTTCTTGAAAAATCGGTAATAAATTCAGTGAAGCATCTTTGTGCCTTAATTCCTATTGGTAAATTGGGATTTTGAGTAGAGGTCCCAGGAAAATTTTGTATGGTTTTATGGTTTATTTACATAATTTTCTTATTTACAATGAATGTTTTTAATATATAATACAAGTTCTTGATATTATTTATTTTAATTACATTTAATAAACCATAAAACCACAAAAAATCTTTTTTTAACACAAATTATATTTCAATAAATTTTCACTGGCGAGTTATCGATATACTTAATTGTATTTACATCATAAAATGTATTTATTTTACTTCATACTATGTCAAGTTTGACGTTTTACTGGATTCGAACGAGTCCGGTAAAATCAAAAAAACGGACAAGTCCGATAAAATTGAGCCAAAAGCACAAGTGTTTCATTTCCGGAAGCGGCCACTGACCCTTTTGGGTCTCTTTGGCTTTACCTGTTATTGTAAATACAAATGTAAATTTAAATTTAGTACTTCTGTAACCGTCCTGTATTAAACATCGAAACCGAACGCTGTCTATGATTTCGCACACAACAAAACAAGGGTCCTTCGAGCAATATCAAAGTACAATTCGGTATCACATTGTCGTATCAACCAGATTACAAAAAACACTGGTAGGACGAGCCGAGTTGCACAAACATTGGTCCTTCGAGACGGATTATACAAAACAACAAATCCTGTAAAGTGTTATACTATGTGTTTAAACATATGATGCTGATTTGCACGAATAAACAAATTAAAACATTTACTAAACAGCGGTTGCTAACGATGTCAGAAAAAGTGACTGCATTTGGATTTTTTCTCAAAATAATAATTATTTTATCGAATAAAAAAATATGTTGATAGTATGAAATAAAATACATAACAACATACGTCCGGTAACTCTTTTCGCAGTACTCGTTTCGAAATTAAAGACTCGGCTACCTACTCGTCCTGAAACATCCCACTCGTACTGTAAAATTTGAGCTACCGGACCGTATTTAGAATAACTTTAATTACCATTTATGTTTTCATCAACACTAACAAGTATTTAAAATAACTAGTAATAATTTGTTTGTATTGTTTATTCATTATAATAATTCCATTTATTTACCAGAAACTTTTAAACGAAATAAAACTTAATCGACTATTGTCTTTGCCATTTCTATTGAAACAACATCTGTTGATTTTGCTTAAAATTTAGCAATTGGTAACAGCTTTCGGTTGATTGACAACGGCTTTTAGTTAGAAAATTGTCTGAATATGAACGTTGCCAAATTTACTTTCAACAAGTGGTGTTTCAATAGAAATGGCAAAGACTATAGAAATAACGGCAAAGTTCTGTCAGGCTCATCTGGCAACGTTGTAAATTATCTAAATGCTTACTATGAGATTTTTACACATTTTTTTCGTCGCCCTCTATCGAGTGGTAGATTTATTAAATGTATTGTTGCTGTGATTTGGGTTGCATATGCGCGTGATTGGTGTCCAAGCTATTCGCCGGCGTTTGACGGCCGAATGTCGGTGCGCCATCTCTTGTTCGCCGGCCTTTGGCCTGTTCGCTCCAAACAATAGCATGGGTCTATCTATATGTATTTAATCAATGACCCTACTAATAAATCAAATAAATTAAAATCATAAATTAAACGTCATTGTTTGCTAACTACATAATTGAGTAAACTTATTATTTTAATAAGATAAGGTATTAAACTAGACAGAGACTTGAATACTTTTTTTTACTAATTTTAATAATTCTTGTAAATGAGTAGATATTTAATAATAAAGCAATACATATTATTATACGCAAAAAATGTATTTGCATGCTTTTGCATAAACTTCCTGCACTTATAATTTATGAACAGTATTTTGGACGATGCCCAATTAATTGATAAATAATAGTATGTTGATGTAAAAAGAGTATCATTACATTACTTCAAATTCTTTTAACTTTCTTTATGTAGTATATCCTGTTTCCAAAATCTCAAGAAATTAGGGTTATGGTAATTCAATTCAATCTGGATGCTTAGGGTAAAAACTCAATAAACAACAAATGAAAAAGTATGTTATTTTTTAAAATTAATATAACATTTATTGCTGTAAAAGTTGGAGATGACGTTATATGATGGGGAGGTTGACTACAAATGTTGGTCAGCGTTTTATCAACCGGAAACGAGAGACCTATGTTTTCGTATTATAGGAGTCATGAAACGTTAAGAAGCCATAAAAGTAGCCAGTCGCCCGATGAACTTGATTACAATACTTCCTTAGCTTACGCTCGAGACATAAAAAAAATAAACAATAACATTTGGATTTAATAGCTTTTGATATCTGGTATACCTAAACAGTGAGTGAATTTTATGCAGCTATTATTACCATTACATATAACCATCCACTTAAATTGATTGGTAAAAAAATTTACCCATAAATAAGTTATTGTAAAGTTATTTTTATTTACACGCGTATAATTGCACAACAACAATTGTTAGACAAATAGAATGACAAAGAAAGCCAATGTCATATTAAAAAACAAGTTTCGATGTAAAGTACCTTATATAAGTTAACAACATACATCTATTTAGTTATAGGTAAAATTCTAATACAGAATTTATTCTTGAAGTAAGTCGTAAATTGTAAATAGCTATAAATTCGGAAATAATTCTTTTTAAAAGATACAAGTCAAAAATGTATTAGGCATGATTGTCAAGAAACATTCCAATTCTGTTTCAAATTTGCAAGCATTTTATGTCAAAAGCTGATTTTTGTAAACGTTCCAGTAATAAATTTCGAAGCAAAATTCACCTAAACAGATTTTGCTTCGAAATTTTAATTTTCATATTACTTTTACAACATTTTAATTTAAAAAATTAAAAATGTATCTATTATTTGTAATTATTGATGTAGCAATGTCGTTTCTACAAATAAGAATACTACAAAAAATTGTGAACTCTTTTACTGGTATGCAGCGTTATAAATCTTATTCACTAAAACTTTAGAGAAAATAAGTTCAATCATTCCCGCGAAAAAATTAAAGAAAAATGTTACTGTTTAGTAAAAAATTAAATTATTTGTTTATCGAACAACAAATCTATTTGATATTTAAATTTGTAAAATTTCGAATCTAATAATTTGAAACTCAATCTTTCTTAAAAAAAAAATCGAAAACATCTATAACAACAGAAAAAAAGTTGCACAAATTACAGTTGCTTTTTTTTAATTTCGGATTCATCAAAATTGTTAAGTCTCTTTTTTATTTATTTCACATTATTCTTATTGTTCTGCGCGTGAAGTTGAATACGATTTCTTTCCCAACCCCAAACCTAACGCTGAAAAGCAAAACAGCAAGGAAGTACGTAAAAACGGATAACGGTACTGTATCGATTTCTGCTTGGACATGGGGCAAATCAGCACTGAATCTAAACTATGTTTCGCTTCGCCCAAGTGCGACATGGGGCAAATCTGCACCAAACAGTAGAGGCGAAAATTCCTCGGACGCGATCTGGATATGCGGCAAACCAGTTCTCAGGTGACGATTATTCGTGAGTATCCAGCCCTAGCCTCCTACAGGAAATCCATACTAGGGGACATCTGGCCTAGTGTGGCAAAAATCAGGGAGTTTCCACTCTCTGCATTACTCAAGCACATTCAAGCTTGACGAGTAGAGGAGCGGAAAACACCCTGATATGGACTTGGGGAAGGTACAATGAGCCCAAAGACGAGGCCTAAGTGCCGGCTGGCTACGGCCAGACCCCATAAATTAAGAATCCAGAATCCAGAACTCCATGACGCTTTATTTGTTTTCCGTTTATAAGTACGCGGCATCTGAAGGATAAAAATCTATCATTATTTGTACTTATACCCATTACAATCTTATGTAGGGTAATGGTGGTCATTGACCATAATTACCCCCATCGGTATGACCGAAATAACCCCACTAGCGACGGTTTGCATAAAATTTTAGCTTAACCCCGTTCGTAATAAATTAGAACACAATTTAACAATACGACAGTGTTCTTTACAAGTTGTACTATATTTACAGAAAAAGACAGGCCATAACAAGAATTTCCAAAGTCCTTACCTTTCTATAAATGCCAGGGAAAAAATTATAACCATACACAACAAAACATTAAACATGAAACGAGCGGTTGACGCACAGTATGAAACTGCTGTAACTTCAAAAACTAAGTTGGTATAGAACATCCTAAAGGACAGCACCTACACGTATTGTGATTTTTAACTCAAGACATAACATTTGCAGTGACCACAATTACCCGGTGACCATCATTCCCCCGCGCTCCTACGTGCCACGGGGTACAGTTAAAACTCCTAGTGCGTGGGGAAGAATGTGGCATGTGCAGTCAAGTCTGCTGGGATCAAAATTGTCTTGATTTTTGGCGTGCACAGTTATAACTGCGCGAGGAAAACTCAGTGTGTGTGGAGACAAGTCGCTGCATGCTTGAGTTTTAATTCAGTAGCGCCGTATTTTTAAAGGATGTCTGACTTAAGGAGTGTGGCGATAAAAATCGGTAAAATTCAAAATTACGCAACGGCTTTTTTTTAAAAGGTATAATACTAATTTTGGTTTTATTTAAAAGACTGTTTCTTGAAGTTAAGTTCTATATTAAACAATGATATCAGTTAGGCTCCGTCCCATTCTTTTCTAATCTTCTTTTTAATGTCTTTCATAATGTTTCTGACAGTGTGATTTTTAATCTTCTTGGTTGATCCGGTCCACTTTAGGGCAAAATCTTTTTCATCTTTCGCTGTTTTTTGAGTTGTTTTTAGTTTCTTTTTAACTATAGACCAATATCTTTCGATGGCTCGGCACTGTGGTACATTTGGAGGGTTTATGTTTTTTGGGACATAATCAATACCATGTTGTTCTAAGCAATCGTCGCCCTGGCATAATCAGAAGTGGCCAAATATGGCCACAACGTTGCACCATTGTGTTTTTGAATGAAAGGTATCAATCTTTTTTTTAAACATTCTTTAATATATATACATCTGCCGAAATACTTCCTTTGATAACAAACGATGAAGACCTCAAACCGCACTGACAAATGGCCTGCCATACCAAATATTTAGTGCCAAATTTCTCTATAGCAATGGAAGACTCAGATTCTGGAAGAATTTCTCCTTCAAATGATGTATAATAACTAGGGTCGGGCAATGTCGAAAAGTCCGTTTTGACATACGTTTCGTCATCCAAAACGAGACAACAATTTTTTGAACAAATTAAGGAGTACAGCTTACGGGCTCTAGTTTTAATTACTTTACGCTGTTTTTCCGACCCTTTTGGTATTTTTGGTTTTTATGAGTTTTCATATTTGCACGCTGTGTAGCTCTTTGCACCATACCTTCGTTAGTACGGCATTTTTTTGCCACATCCCTAACAGACATGCTGCGTTTCTTGCAATTATTTTGTTAAGCTGAGGATTATGAGCACCATATTTTCGATCAAAACCGGGCTTACGATCGATAGACTTGGTCTCAAGGTACTTATTCAAAACTCTGTCGACGGTACTTCGGGCTATTTTCAAATTTCTGGCTATAAAATGTCTTGGATATCCAGGGTTTTTTATCCATTGCTTAATTATTTTCTTCCTATGCTCTAATTTACACATTATTTTCAAAAGAAATATCAACAATGTGATTGAATTGGTATCACTAATTACTATTTTGAATATTTGACATTTTTATCGTCACACTCCTTATTTTAAAATTGTTTTTTTTATAATCCAAATGCACGCCACTGTCATAAAATAAATATGTTTTTTCGTTAACATAGGGATGCCACAGAACTGACGAGGAAGCAGGAGTGTGTGTGTGCAGTTCGAGAGTACGGGTTTAACTTAAGACAAGCGTGCACTCTTTTAACAGCACAGTCTTCCCTCTGTGTGTGTGGAAGCCTTAAAAGGGTATTCAGTGAACAAGATTTTTCCGACGGTTTATCCCTGGCTCGACATAGCTGCATGAGTAAAATTTGTGCGTCTTACCAAATATTTATCGGCAAAAACCCAGACAACTAGGAACACAATCACACACACACACATCTCTCTAGTCTTCAAGATACCTAGTCAGTTTCATGAATAAAAGGAATGTACAGCTGGTTTCATTAAAATCGGAAAAAATGACAGTGACATGAACGTCATATTCCCATTGCTTTTCAATGATCTATGCGAACCTGATTTGCTCATCTTTTCCCGTTTTTTGTGAAACCAGCTGTATGTAATACAATCACTTCAAAAAGGAATTAAGCCACAAACTGCCTAACCTAAAATTATTGTTTTAATATTCACATGCGAACCTCTCAACTGTCAACATCGGCCAGTCATTCTGACATGAGTTATGCATAATTACTGAGATCGAAAACTATAACGGTAAACCATGTAAATTTAACGCTTACACAAACTGGTTTACATATCAGTTGAACAGCTCATTAGCAATTAAAAATAACAGTTATGCTGTAAATGAATTATGTCGTATGTTGAACATAAGAACAAAATGTTGACAGTCTGAAACTGTTTCGTGTGAATAACACCCTGTAAGAAATTTGGAGGATTTATTTTGCTAAAATTACATCGGCTAACAAAAATTTGATATTATGTGTAATTATTTTATATATGCATTTTAGCTTAAATCCTTATCTCGTTAGATGTCTTTAATGCTAAATACTGCTTATGAAGTCTTTGCTTACAAAACTGATAAAATTCAATTTCTCTTGTAAAGTTGGATCTCACTTTCTTTTTCACATCTTCACTGACAGATGGCTTAAATCCATTCTTATTAATATGATTGAATCTGCTTATCTCATCTAAAAAATATATACAAATGAATTAATATTTAAATATTAAATCATCAAATGTATTTAAACAAATTTCGATACCGTGAGATCTAAAACATCTTATATATTAGGTAGAAACTACTAAATTTATATCTTTCTTGAACTGATCAAACAAATTTGATTTAAAATTTAAAACACTGCACGGAATATAAAATATATTTAAATGTGACACTTCACATGCAATACAATAGTTAAGTTTGCAAATCAATACCTACTCAATTTAAATATATTTTATATTCCGTGCTGTGCTTATATTTTAAATCAAATTTGTTTGATGTATATACAGAAATTTAACTTTCTGAACGCTAATAACGCCATAAGGATTTACGTGCTAAAAATTTTGGTTTTTATTAACAAGTTTTGTAGCAGGAAGTTTCAAGTGAAATTTATCAGAATATTAGACTAGTATTTCGTAAATCAATTTCAGTTCGTTTTTTGTGAAAAACAAAATAATAATTAATGAATTACAACAAAAATAACTTTGCTAAATTCACTGCATGGCTTGGCAAATAGGCTATGACATAATAACATACATCAAATTTAATAGGAATCGGGCGATCGAAAATTCGGCCGCAAAGTTATCTTGTATGTACTTGACAAACTCTGGACGAAAGATATAACAAATTTTGGTTTTTCTTACACCCTCTTCGTCCATTTAAAAACTATTTTCACCCTCCTCATTTCCACACCTGAATCTGGTAATCAGCTTTTCTCCTTCCCGTTCTCTCTGTCCAGGTTCTTCGATCAGTCCTCGCTTATTATTCCCAGGTATTGACCATTGTACCTGAACTCTATGTGCATTCTCATCCCTCTTGTCTTTCAATCTCCCCATATGCATGAAACACCATCATTTTCCTTCTACAGTCATACCTAAACTTTCTATCCCCTATTACCCAGATTATCCCTAATACCTTATTAGCTCTTCTTAGTAAGTCTTTTTCAACAAAAACCTCTGATTGAACCGAACTCCAAGGTGCTTCAGTTTCTTTCTCTTCTCACAACCGTTCTGCTTCTTTACGTTTTCGCTTTGCTTTTTTCAATATCATTATCTTACTTTTCGCTACATTCACTTGTAGTTGTCTCTCTAGCTGGTTAATCATCTCTTTCATCCCCCTTTCATCCCTTGACAGAATGACCAAATCATCCCCATATGCAAAGGACCCCAACTTCTCTTTTCCTATCACCACTCCGCCTACTTGTACCCCCTGGAAAATTTCTACAATGTTGCTTACATATGCAGAGAACAGGTTAGCGGTACAAGGGCACCCGTGACGTTGACCGTTATTCGTTCTATAACTTTCACTCTCCTTTCCATTCATCCTCACTCTTCTGTGTGCTGTCTCAATTGCTCCATTTTATCATCTATACCTTCTGCTGTAGACCCCATTTTTCCATCTTTTTCCTAAAATGTTCAACTCCTTTTGCTCTTCCAATTCTCCTTTTTTCTATTACCCTTAAGTTTGTTTTTCCTTCCTCTGTTCCTCCCCTCAGCTATACTTCCAGTGGCATGTTCGCTGATGCTAAAGTTGGTAAATGCCCCTCATGCTTTCTGGTTAGTTAACTTATAATCTGTCACTGTCCTCCCTCTTGTCCCTATTCACGTAAATCTCCCATAATGACCTGAATTCTTTCTTCTCTACTTTGTCTGTTTTTTTGTCGTTTCCAAACAATTTTCTCATTTTGTGCCCTTTGTCGCTATTATTGTATTAAAATCCCCCACTATTAATAACGATGCGTTGTCTCCAGCGCATACCTATCTACTTTTTTTCCTCATCTGTTCCATTCCTTTACTATACGCCGTTAGAATTCTCCATTTTTCAGCATTGATTATTGTTTTTCTCTCCATGAGATCCTCTTCTTTCATCTCATTTTTACTTTCCTCTACCTCTTTCAGCTCCCCTTTGACCCCTATTATAATCCCCACCCTCAATCTGCCTTTTTTTTGTCTTTAACTGCTAACCTGCATTTCCATACGGATCCCTTTGGCATTTTTTCGTCGATTTTCTTCTCACCTTTAAGCTCCACTCATGTTACTACAATCCGCACTACATCCTGTTGTTCTATATGGGTGGTGGAAACTTTATCGAAAAACAAAATATCGAAAAGAAAATATCGCATGTAATATCATGGCCGACTAGTTTAAAGATTATGGCCTGTCCAAGGGTACCATACGTGCTGTCATCTATTAATAATTCAAAAACGACAAAAGAATTATTAACCCTTTTTGAAAGGCACAAAGGCATTCATACCGAAACAAACGACCATTACACGTTTTGAAGTCTCATAATGTCAAATCAAATTAAAATTTTGCTAAATTATTAAGTGTAATTATTGATAGATGGCAACACGTATGGTACCTCTTGGACAGGCCATAATCTTTATACTAGTCGGCCATGGTAATATATCAAAAAACTAAATATCGAATATACAAAATATCGAAACGACAAAATATCGATCAGCAAAATATCGAATATACAAAATATAGAAAAACAAAATATCGAAAAGAAAATATCGAACCGCAAAATATGGAAATTGTAAATATAGAAAATATTAAGAGAATGAGTAATATCCATTTTGCAAAACGATTAATTTTTAAAAATAAAGTTTTATTCTTAGATCATATAATAAATAGATACCACCACGCCGTGTTCTTTCCCTAGGAGAGCCTGTGACGACGTCCTCCTTTCACACATCTCTCTTGTACATGGAGGGATTACAATAAAGCTATCCTTGCCTGATCACTATTTGAATTTTGCGCTCCTAAATTTTAGGAAGTATGTATGTCTGAACTAACTTCGTACGAAAGATGTTGACAGCTTGATTTTATAAATAATTCACAGTAGATAACGAAAGGAACAGTAAATTATTGGGCAGCAATTGTGATCCTTTATGATTACATCAGTTAAAATAGGATTTTTGTGCTAAATTCTAAAATTGTTTTTGGTACATGAACACGAAAGAGAGGTTAAAAGCGATTTGTTGCGCTGGTGCGGTACAAGGATGGAAGTGAAATAGACATATACAGATGAAATGCATATAACAAAGATGAAGATGTGGTGATCACACAAGGATAGCATTATACTACTTCCCTTGACGTAGAAAACGACAACAGATAGCTTCATGTCTAGTCACAGCTTTCGGTTTGAGTATTGGTATCTATTTATTATATGATCTAAGGTTTTATTACAAGTTACATGCTACATTTGTTAAATAATAATTAATATAGAAATCGTTTGTATTTTGATAGCTTTCACTAAAATGGTTGACTACCACCTGTAATTTTTTATTTTTGTCTTTGTACTTTTTTCTTGGAGGTTCTTTCAATCGGGCACCTTGTTGAGTTATTTTCAATTCAGTCATTGACTGATCTCTTTTAAGTCCATCAAAAAACGCCCAAACTGATGGTTTTTTGGCATAAAACTGATTATTTAAACTCCTGTGCCACGCTTCTACTGCATTGTTAGTAGTGGAAAATTTTGTACGATTGCATCGAAAAAATCCCAAAGACTGTGTCTAAATTTTGGCTCTCTTTTGGGCATTTTTCGACCAATCCAAGTATTTTTAAAATATAATATGACAGACTGGGCACGACTGGGCATCTTCTAGTATATCGCTTGCAACACATCGAATGCTCTAATAACATGCTCGACGGGAACAAATGCAATAGAAATTAGTTTTTTAACAAACAAATGAAAATCCTTGTCTGAGTCATAAATATTGCTTTCCATTAGTTTATAGATGTCTTCGTATATATTGACGGTAGTGAAAATAACATCCGTGACTTAATGCAGATGGAAATAAAAGTGATTGATAGCAGCCAATTCAAAGTCAGCTATTATTCTCTGTACTTTTGGAACATTTAAAAATTCTCTGATTTTTTCAAACATTTTCACGTATATACCTTCAGTTTTTTGTGGCAGAAGCCCAAATACCAGAGGGAAATATGCATCTTCTATTTCGCCATGGATTGTATATAACTGATAGAAGAGACTAGGAACAGTTTGAAATGTACCATCCAACAACCATGTAGGGCAGCAACGAAGTAATTCTAAATTTTTAGGTGTTCCAAAAATAATAACTCTGTCTTCATCCTGTGAATCATATATAAGGAACTGATCCCCTTTTGCCGTATTTTTATACTTGTCTGAAATTGTCAAACCACTCAATATCAATGGAACTGTTGGTACAGGATTTTGATTTTCACGACAATGCCTTACATTACGACTTTGACTACTAACCGATGGAAAATGCGTAATAGCAGCAGTACTCATGGATGACATAACTTCGGATATTATCGCTCTTGGAGCATCTTTTCCAGTTCAGCTTTTTGCTTTATTTTGCTAACAGCCTATACCACTTCTAGCTTTAAAACGTCTCCATCGTGAGCATGTTCCCTCTTTAAGGTGAAAATTCCTAGATTGTTGATGGTGGCACGTGCCTGACATTGACCCATTGATCGCATTTCCAGTATAGCGCGTTCTCTGTTGATTTTTCTTTTGTGCAGAAAAAACCGCCACAGTACAGTTTCTTCTTATTTTTCTGACTTTCAACGTAACGAAAATCCATATTTTCAATCTGAATGAGTCGAAAAATGATGACACTTTTATTTTCGCGGACACTGAGTCTCTACGATTTTTTATTATTGCAATTAATAATGGAGTACTTATTATAACGTAGATTTCATTAATCTGCTGGACGCTCAATATAGTTTGAATGCAAGCAATGTCGGCAATAACAGTGCAAGCGTCATCATAAGAAATTTTCGATATATTTCGATATTTTGTAGTTTCGATGATATGTTTTTCGATATTTTGTATATTCGATATTTTGTGATTCGATATTTTGTTTACATTCGCGGTGCGTTCAAGATTTTATCGGTTTCTGCCCATTTTAATCTAATAATCCAAACATTAATTAAAAAATAAATAAATTTGGTTGATCACGTTTGCATGATATATTTCGGTGTCATA